TAACATCTTTATTAATGCCTGGATGTAGGTATAGAGAGAGCAGACTGACCACATTTGCAGGTGACACAAAGCGAGGGGGGGGCGGGGAGTGTTGCCAACACTTTGGAGGGCAGAGCTAAGATTCAGAGGGATCTTGATAAATTGGAGAACTGGGCTATAGACAACACAATGAAATTCAACACAGACAAATGGAAGGTGCTTCTGTTAGGGAAGAAAAAACAAATGCAGAATGGGGGGTAACTGGCTTGACAGCAGCACTGCTGAGAAGGAGCTGGGAGTGGTGGTGGATGGATCCCAACGTCAACATGAGTCAGCAACGCGATGCTATTGCAAAAAAAAAAGCAAGTGCCGTTTTAGGTGGCATGAACCGAGGCATAGCCTGCAAGTCCTGGGAGGTGACAGTACCGCTCTGCTCGGCGCTGGTTGGGCCTCAGCTGGAGCCCTCTGTCCAGTTTTGGTCCTCAATGTATAGAAAGGATGTCGAGAAGCTGGAAAGGATCCAGATGCGCGCGATGAAGATGATCGAAGGGTGGAACACAAGCCGTATGAGCGAAGGCTGAAGGAGCTGAGTGGGGTTAGTTTGGAAAAGAGGAGATGAACGGGGGACACGATAGCGGTCTTCAAATACTTGGAAAGCTGCCATCAAAAAGATGGAGAAAAGTTGTTCTCTCCTGCCACAGAGGGCAGGACAAGGGGCAGTGGGTTCAAACGACAGCCCAGCCGATCTAGATTAAATCTCCCCTCGCTGTAAGAACAGTAGGACAATGGAACAGACGCCTTTGGGGGGCGGCGGGGGATCGTTTTCACTGGAGGTTTCAAAAGGAGGCTGGAGCCATCTGTCTTGGGTGGTTTAGACCCAACAAATCTGCACCTTGTGAGGGGGTTAGACTAGATGACCCTTGCGGTCCCTTCTCACCCTGTGATTCTATCCCGTTGAGTGCAATTAAAAAAGCCCACTGGACGGCATGCATGGGGCAACACCACCAGCAGAGGACATGCTATCGGGCACTCCCATGGGGGCAAAGAACTGGAAAACACAACCCCCTGCGCACACACACATACTGCTCCCCCCCCCCACACACGCTGCAATAGAGGAAGAACTAGGGAAGAGCTGAGTGATGGTCTAGTGGATAGCGCACTGGAGTGGGAATTTGGACACCTCCGTTCTCATCCCAGCTCAGCCACTGATCTTCTCAGGGCCCTTTGTGTATTTAGACTGTGAGCACTTCAGGGCAGGGTCTGTGTCTGGGCAGCGCCTGGCCCGATGGGGCCCTGATTTCAGGTATTACTGTAATAATAGTAGTCTAAGATTATTAACCTCTCTGGCAGCTGTTCCCTGCATGATGCAGACCAATAAGTGAATGTGCTGGTCTGTACCCACATCAGAGGGGACCCCAGAGTCAAAGAGGGGGGGCGTTGCTCTGATCTCACATAGAGGTGAGAGGTCCAGCGAGCCTGGTGGTCTCCCCCATTTATCCTAAGGAAAGATTGTGCCTGTCTCCATCGCTTATCCTTGAAGGATACCCCTGCAATCTTAGTTTATGCCCTATGTGCTCCCAGCAGAACAAGGAGTAATGGTCTCAAGTTGCAGTGGGGGAGGTCTAGGTTGGATATTAGGAAACACTATTTCACTAGGAGGGTGGTGAAGCACTGGAATGGGTTCCCTAGGGAGGTGGTGGAATTGCCATCCTTGGAGGTTTTTAAGGCCCGGCTTGACAAAGCCCTGGGATGATTTAGCTGGTGTTGGTCCTGCTTATGAGCAGGGGGAATGGACTAGATACCTCCTGAGGTCCCTTCCAACCCTGATAGTCTATGAGCAGGTGATCCACCGTTATCTAGGCCATGTGCCTGTGGGCAACTCCTGTTCTGGGGACCAAGCCTCCTGCCTGCGCAGGGACCAGGTCTGCATAGCAGAGGGCATGAAGAGCTGGGATCTGTGACTAGACAGTAGTGCCGGCAAATGCCCCTAGCGTAGGTGCAGCTATCCTGGCAAACTAGGAGCACTCTGCAGTGCTAGTGTAGCTATAGCTGGCGTGAGTTATGGTAGCACCAAGTGAGAGACAGTCCCTGCCCCACAGACCTCACAATCTAAGGAGGGGCTTATTTTCCCCATAGAGGCATGGGAAACTGAGGCACAGAAAGGGACTCCCACCAGGGTCACTCTGCAGAGCTGGGACTAGAACCCTGGTCTCCCATGTCCCAGGCCTGTACTCTATCCACTAGGCCATACGGCCTCCCACAGGGGTCACCCTAGTCTCTCCTCTTCTTCATCATCCCCTAGCCCTTGGCAACAGCAGCTGGGGCTTCGGCAACAGGCGCTTCCTCTGTCCGTGCATTGGCTCCCTGGTGGGGGGAAGAGAACTGACCCTCTCTCGCCTCTTGTTCTTGTAGGACGCCTGGCCCTTCTCCAGAGGCAGCCGCTCAGAGACTGCCTGAAGTCAGCCGATCTGGAGCACAGCGCCCCCAGTAAAGATGGCAGCCCCGTTCGGCAATGAGGTGAAGTGCGTTAGCGTAGAGTGGGACTTCTTGCAAGGACTGTTGGTTAAGAATCAGCCGGTGCCCTGGTAAGATGCTGAAGAGGATGGATTCTTTGCACGTATACAGCCCCTTCCACCTGTGTGTCTGAAACCACTGTACAGGTGTGGGTTAATAAAGCCAGACAACCCCCGCCCCCCCCCCCCGGAGATGATGGTGTCCTTGAGGGAAACTGAGGCCCAATGAGAAGTAACTGTCCCAAGTAACTCTCTTCCCAGACCTGGACTAGAACCCAGGAGTCCTGGCTCCTATTCCCCTATTCTAACCACTAGTCCTCATTCTCATCCCAGCCTGGGAATAGAACCCAGGAGTCCCTGCTTTAACCACTAGACACCACTTCCCCCTGCCCCTGAACTGGGAATAGAACTCAGGAGTCCTGGCCCCCAGTCCTGCCTATTCTAACCACTAGACCCCACTCTCCTTCCAGAGCTGGGAATAGACCCCAGAGGTCCAGACCTCAAATCCTCCTTGCTCAACTCACTAAACGCTTTCCCCCTAAGTTGGCAATGGAACCCAGGAGTCCTGGTTTCTAGCCCCCTGCTGTACCCCCTCCTGCTGCACCCTTTGCTCTTCCAGCCCCTCCCCACGGTGAGGATTTCCCCAGGCCCGCTTGCTGACAGTCTCTTATCCTGGGGTAGCAGGGACCAGCCTCCAAACGTCTGGCACTGAACTGAACTGTCGCTCTGACGCTTTTCAGGGTCTCCCACACCCCACACCAAATCTCTGAAGGGAGAAACCCTGGGGCTGAAACATCCCACACAAATGCAGCCCCCTCCATTCAGCCGGCTGGACAGCAGCCAAGCATACAGAGTTTTCCCCGGTGTCCTTGGGGAGCCGTCGCTGAGGGTTGTGTCCTCATGGGGAGAGGACCCAGAGCACTCCATGCTTATCAGCCGTTCCGTGAGCCTAGACTTGACGCTAGACAAACAAGTCCCGGCAGCTCCCGGGGCGACTCATGGCCAGAATTGCATATTCCGCCTCATGGGACTAACTGGAAATGTGCCAGCGAGTGTCCCACCCGCTCCTGGGATCCCTCGTCTGATGCCACCAGCCCCACAGCGGGAGCCCCTTCCATTTAGGGATCCCCCCAGCCAGGCCTGGCAACTGCAGCAGTGCTCACGTCTAGAGCGGAGGAAAAATTTTCCAACAGACTTTTCATGGAGAAATGCAGCTCTCTGTGCTCCTAAACGATCCATGAATTCGGGGCGCAAATAGCTTCAGCGGAGGGAAAAAGGTGGTTTTATTGCAAAAAAACTTTTGTTTTAAAATGCCGTTTCAAATTCAGATCGGCCTTTAAAAAAACAAACACGCAGCCACAGAAGAGTGTGGAAAACACCCAAATCAAACCAAAAAATGAAAATCCCCACAAACAAGAGTGAAAAACACCCAAATTAAAAAAAAATAATCCTCAAACAAACAAACACAAATCACAGAAAAAGGTGAAAAATGCCTGAAAACAGCTGACTCAAAACACAATCCTTTCAAAGCGGCCAAAAAGTTTTAATTGTTTTGAAATTTCTTTCAAGTTTTTAATTTAACGCAAAAATTTTTGGGAAAAAAAAACACGCATTTGTTTCGATGGAATCAAACCAAATGGTTTAAAATTTTATTTTATTTTTCGATTTGGTGCCTGATCTGCAAAACCCATTATTTGCTCAGCTCTGCAGCGGGCTGGGTGGTGGCAGAGATACCCCGCGCCCTGCAGTGACTGTTAGCTTGGGGCTTGCAGTGTAGACATTCCCACTCGGGCTGAATCCAGACGCTGAGACCCACCCTGTTTTCTGGGTTTCGGAGCCCAGGCTCCGGCTCATGCAGGAACATCTCCACTGCTCTTTGAAGCCCCGTAGTGTGAACCTGAGTCAGTTGGGGGCTTGGAGGCTCAGTGTCAGGGGCTTGGTTTTTTGCAGTATAGATGCACCCTTGGTGCTTCAGAGAATACGTTCCCTCTTTGGCTGTGGATGGAAGGGGGGCTTAGTGGGTAGGGCTTCAGGAGACCAAAGTTCAATTCACTGCCCCTTGAGCGGTTTGCTTAGGCTGCCCCAGGCCTCAGTTTCCCCATCTGTAAAAGGAGGAAACCCTTAAAGGGAGGTTGGGAAATCCATGAATCTGAAGGCATTCAGTGCTGGGGGTACCAGATGCAAAATTGTGATTTAAAGAAAAAAAAGTGAGGGATTTTTTTTTAATTTGTTTTGAGGGGCCGGGTTGTCGGGCCGGGGGTCTGGAGTCCATAGAGCAGACGCAGTCTGGGAAGCAGCAGGACCAGCCCACTCTCAGACCGCCTTGCCACGGTGTCCTGTCCAGAGCCAGATGCAAGGGTGGACTTCTGCTCCGGTGCCTGGGTGCTAGCAAATGAGAATGAGGGGACTAGCGTTTGGGGTGCTGGGTCTCTGCGTTTGGGGTGCTGGGTCTCTGTTCTCCCCTCCAGCGTCAGACCCTCTGAGCATCCCACGGGCCAATAAATTCCTCATTTATCCCTTCTGCGCTCCCCAGAGGCCCTGCCAATTTAGTACCCCTCTGCACACATCCTGGAAGGCAAATTCTCTTTCCCAGCCCGCCACGTTCTGGCTACTGAGTACCAAGAGGTCTGGGCCCTTCCGAAAAATCAGGAGAAAAAAATTCATCGTGGCTCCACTCACAACGGAAAACGTTCCAAAGCAGCGTTGCACTGGGGGGGTCAGGCTGGGTGGCTGCACATTGGGTGGGGGTTGGGGGGCGAGGGCAGTGGCAGTGCCCTCTATGGTGGCTGCGGGGGGAACAGTGTTGCCTGGTTGAGACGGGAAGATGGCGGGTGGGGAGCAGCCCCCC